CTCCTGCTTCAGCCTCCCAAGCCACTGGGATTACAGGCATGCACCACTGGTAGCACCTTACCCTGCAATTTAGATATGCTTTCATTTCCAAGATCTTCAGTACTTGAAAATTTCCCACTAAAATTAAATGCCATTTGCATATCCCTTGTTCTTGGAGCTTGTTCATCTTTCTCGCTATGTCTGACAATCTCCTAGTACTCTAGACCATCATTTTGATCCTTTTTCATTTGTATCTTTATTCAGTCTGTACAACAATTTGGATAAATTCCCCAGGTCATTTATTACTCCTACCTTGCCAACACTCAGCACTTGTGCATACCCATTTTTTCCTTTTGCTTTTTTGGGATTGTGTAGTTCTGGAGAAAGTCACAACAGTAAAGATAACATCAGCTAGGCCCTCACTTCTATGCAAGTATTTTATTTGATGTCTACTGATGCCTTAATAAATTGCCTACAATGCCATATCCAAGCCTTTTCCATTCTTGAACTCCTAAAGACACATTCTACTTTTCCTCTCTTAGATGAACTTACACTGGGAAGACACAGACATCCAATATGAGGTCTCCCATTTCCCTTCTCTGTTCTTTTAAATCTTTCTGTTATGTTCTTCACCTTTGATCTACCTATCCTGGCCTACAAAGCCAAGGATCCTTTTGGCCAGGGGTAATCCCTCCATTTTTCCTTTCAATTTTACCACCTCTTTATGAAATAAGGTTGAGTGCAGCTTCTAGATTTAGATTGTACTACTTCAGATCTATTTCTACCACTTACTACTAAGGAAGTTACTTAACCATTTTAAGTTTTAGTTTCCATACCTGTTAAAATCTTGGCAAACAGCATTCAAAAGCACATTAAAAAGTGCTGAGGATAAAGCGTTTTTCATTTTAGGGATGCAAGTTGGGTTCAACATGCAGAAATCAAATGTAATGCACCACATAACTAACTTTAGGAAAAGAATCACATGATTACCTCAATAGATACATAAAAATATTAGAAAAATTACAGTACCCATTCATGATTACACAACAATAGAAAAACTAGGGATAGAAGTAACTTACATCAACATTGTAAAAGCTATATGTAACAAATTCAAGGCTAACATTATACTGAGTGGACAAAAAACAAAATTATTTCTTCTAAAGAAAGGAACAAGACAAGGATTCCCACTTCCATCACTCCTACTCAACATATTCTTTGAAACTCTAGCTGGAGGAATCAGGCAAAAGAAAGAAATTAAAGGGATAAAAATAGGAAAAGAGCTCAAATAATCTGTTTGCTGATGACATGATCCTCAATTTAGAAGAACCAAAAAAACTCCACCAAAAGACTTCTAGAGCTCATAAATAAATTCTCCAAAGTAGGATATAAAATCAACACCCATAAATCAATTGTGTTCTTGTTTTCCAATGATGAATCTGCTGAAAGAAAAATTAGGAAAACTATCCCATTTACAATACCTCAAAAAATAAAATACTTGGGAATTAATCTAACTAAGGAGGTGAAAGACCTCTACAATGAAATCTATAGAACTTTAAAGAAAGCAATTGAAGGAGACCTTACAAGGTGGATAGACCTCCCATGTTCTTAGATAGGCAGAATCAATATTATCAAAATGGTCATATTATCAAAAGCACTATGCAGATTCAATGCAATTCCCATCAATATTCCAAGGACATTCTTCAAAGAACTAGAAAAGGCAATTATGAAATTCATGTGGATAAGTAAGAGAACCAGAATAGCCAATGCAATCCTTAGTGAGAAAAGTGAAGCAGCAAGGCTGGGTTGTGGTTCAGTGGTGGAGCACTTTCCTAGCTTATGTGAGGCACTGGGTTTGATCCTCAGCACCATATAAAAATAAATAAATAAATAAAATAAAAGCATTGTGGGCATCTATAACTCAAAATATTTTTTTTAAAAGTCAAGCAGGGTAATCATAATACCAGACCCCAAATTACACTATAGAGCTACAGTAACAAAATCAGCATAGAATTGTCACCAAAACAGACATGAAGACTAATGAAGACAATAAAGGACACAGAGACATGTAAATATAGTTATCTGATACTAGGCAAAGGTTCCAAAAGCGTATGTTGGAGAAAAGATAACCTTTATAACAAATGGTGCTGGGAAAACTAGAAATCCATATGTAGAAGAATGAAATTTCACCCCTACCTCTCACCCTGCACAGAAGTTAATTCAAAATGGATCAAGGACATTCGACCAGAAACCCTGCACCTACTAGAAGAAAATGAAGGCCCAACACTTCATTTGGGAGTGAAGTGTTGGGTAATGTATTGGAGAGAGTTGGGTTCCATGCTTTTGTGATAATGTCAAGGTATATTCTGGCATTGAATTATAACTAAAAAGATTTTTTTTAATTTTTTTTTTTTTTTTACAAATATGACACCATTATTTTACTTAAAAAGGGGGCTAGGGCTGTAGCTTAGTGGCAGAGCGCTTGCTTAGTATGTGTGAGGCACTGGGTCCAATCCTCAGCACCACATAAAAATAAATAAAGGCATTCTGTCCATCTACAACTACAAAAAAAAAAAAAAACTAAAGATGATAAGTAACAGTATATACTCAATGGGCCACTGGGAAATATAAATGAGAAAGTCACAGGAATGTAATTAGTGAAATATATACCTTATATTAAATGTTAAATAACATAATGGCAGTGATTAATGTTATTATCTTGCAATCTACACTAGCTCTTGGCACATTGTCCTCGTCTTCAAATTTGCAACAAGCCTCCTGTTTTTAACTAAAAGACTCATCTGGAATTTGCTCCCCCATCCCAAATTTCTTTCCTTCCTTTAACCACTAAACTTCTCTAAATATACACTTTGAAGCCAAAAAACCTTGTGTTTGGGTCTGGCTCTTCCACTTCTCAGCTATAAGACCTGCAACAAGCACTTTTCCTAAGCATCAGTTTTTCATCTTTAAAATGGGTTAATGACCCTTTCTTAGGGCCATCAAATAGATTAAACTGAAAATACATGTAAAGCAAATAGCCAAATTGGGTGCTAAATGAATAACGTTTCTCCATCTCTTATCCTTTCTTTAACTTCCTACAATCTAGGATCTCTATTACTCTAATACCTTTTCATCTCACTTCAGCTCTTATTAGCATTATGACTTTGGGCATTTGACTACTCTAAACATTAGTTTTTCATCTGTAAAAAAAGATAAATATCTACCACATAAAGTTGTCTTGAGAATAAATGAATTAACATATAAAGTGTTTTAGCACAGGGCCTGGTCATGAAATAATGATCAAATCAAAAGATTTTCTTTCTCTAGCTTTCACTAATAGAACTATTTTCTGATTTGCTCTGATAACCACTGACCATTCCCTCTGTCTCTGCACCTCCTCCATGAAGCCATTTTTTATTCTACTCAAACTCTGTGTGAACTTTTTCTCCTTTGAACCTTAAGAGCACCTTGTACTTCTCTTGATGTAAGGCATTTCCCTTACTCTGAAATGATAGTCATTTGTACTATGTTGCATCTCCACTGCTTAGTCTCTTTTATTCTCTTTGCCAGGTACTTATTAAATCATGTATAACTTTTGAATATGCAATATAAACCAGACCCATGCTGGCTATTGAGAATATAAAGACTAACATGCTATAACTATTGTCTGTAAGAAATTTTAGTTTAGGACAGTAGAAAAGACAGGTAAACAGACTATTTTTGTAGTGTAAGAAATACTATGGCAGGAGTATGCTGAGAGTCTCTGAGAGCACAGAGAGGAAATATTTAAACTATGCTTGGGAGAACAGAGACACTCTCTTATAAAAGGCATTTTGTGCATAGCAAATAGGGAGGCTGCTCATAAATATCTGTCAAATGAATACATGACCTATGAGTAGAAAGTAATTGGATGAGGATGGAAAAGGACACTTAAGAGCCAGCAGAAAAGAGGAGATAAAAATGACATGGAGGGATGAAGCAAGTAGTTCAATATTGAAAAAAGGAAGTTTTCCAAATGTCTGGAGATGAAGCTGGAGAGTCAAGGCAGGGTGAGATATTCTAGACAAAGGAGTGTGATTTGACCCCACAAGGCTGGTAAAGAAGTATCCATAAAGATTTTTTAGCAGAGGAGCATATTCAGATTTGCATTTTGGTATAAGTACTCTGGCAGCACTGGGGAAAATGGATTCCACAAGAGCCAGACTAGAGGTAGAATTCAGTTAGGAGGATGTTGTGATAATTCAGATGAAGTATGAGTGGTAGAACTGAAGAAATGAAGTGAGAATGGTAAATCAGGATGGATACTAAGCTGACTTAAAAATCAGGTTCGGCTGAACTTAATTATGCGTATTTGTATCTTCAAGTCTAGCAAAAATATTTAACACTTGAAATACGCTACATAAATATTTGAAACCTTCTTAGGGAACTGCAGCCAGCTGCGTCACTTCCTGTGCTCGGATTCCTAAGTAAAAGCACTTTTCTCACTATAAAACTCAAAAGAAATAGATTTGTTATTAGAACACTGAGATTAACAACACCATGTATAAACTTGCACTCTGCACAGACTCTGGGGCGTCTCTGTACTGGACTGTTTTATGTTTTAACCTCAAATAATATTTGAACAAACTCTACAGAGTCATGAGACTACGCTATGGGCGCCGAGACAACTGCCAAGGATTGTTTTCTCTTTATTGCAAGCAGCTCATTGCCTGGCCAATTTCACCCAGCGGTCTCCCAGAATGTACCACGCTGCTGTGTAAACAGTCAACCACTGGGAACTAAGGAGAGTGCTGTGTCCAGGGCTGCGGAAACTCTTGAGAGGCAGGTGTCTTGAACTTTCAAATGTTAATGTTACAAAGTCCTTCACTCCCACGCCTCCACCCTGCTGCTTTCTGCAGCACTACCTTCGGAAGTTAGAAGGAGACTTTCCAGAGTTACTAGAATGTTGCCGGCACTAAAAAAAAAAGAAAAGAAAAAAAGGAAGGAAAAGTAAAAGGAAACTAAGCAAGTTTATTCTCACTCACCCTAACGACCGCCATCTCTAGGGCCCTCTCGGCTCCAGTTTTCATACGGAGAACGCAGAGGGACAAAGCAGTTCAAAGAGACTTCTCTCGCGAGAACCCCGCCCCGCTACGCCCTTTTCTAGCAGGCTCCCGCCCTTTCTCCGCCCTCAGACCAACGCTTTGGCAGCTAATGCAATTAGACTGTGACCTGTCTTTCAGAGATAAAGTTTTATCCTTGTAATTGGCCACCCAGATCCCAAATAAAGCCTTTCAGAATATTCTCCATAGCCCAGTTGAAAATTGTTTCCTTGAGTGCAGAACTTTTCGTTATTTTTGTTTTCAGGCATACATGAGTTTGAGACATGAAGTTAATATCCAACTCCAATGCCTTAAAAATAACTATATGAAGAACATGTTATGTTTCCCATACATGAGCATGTTCACTGAGCGCCAACTCTATGCCAGGCAGGTCTTCAGAGTACAGAACCAAACTTAGCGGCTTCTCATGAAGCATATGCTTACAGGAGCGAAAGAAAAACAAATTCCACATAATGCCAAATGCTACAGAAGAAAATAAAACAATATGCAGATGGAATGAGTGTTTGCTGATTTATATAGATTAGATAAAGAATCTCTGATAAGGTGATTTGGAAAAATTCTGAAGGAATTTAGGAAAGAGTATTCCCTGCAGACAGAATAGCAATGAAAAAGGTCAGCCTGGGCTAGGGATGTGGCTCCAGCGGTAGCGCGCTCGCCTGGCATGCGTGTGGCCCGGGTTCAATCCTCAGCACCACATACCAACAAAGATGTTGTGTCCGCCGAAAACTGAAAAATAAATATTAAAAATTCTCTCTCTCTCTTTAAAAAAAATAAAGAAAAAGGTCAGCCTGACTTAAGTAATGAATTCAGAAGTAGAGAAAAAAAGCATACTACATATGGACTTGTGTCACCATAAGGATCTTGAATTTTATTCTGAGTTAGATGGGAAGTCATTGGAGGATTTTGGGCAATGTGTGACATGAGCTGTTACATTCTGAAAGGATGAGTTGGGTATTGTCAGGAGACAATACTATGGATGGTACAACATTCTCAATAGGGGCAAGGTCTCTCTAAAATCTTCTGTGAATTATTCTAAGAAAATAAGATACTTATAATGTGTCCATCAACATCTTCAATGTTAATTAATTAATTCATTTGTTTAATAAATATTTATTAGGTACAGACTATATACCAAGCTTAGTGGTGTATCTACAACATTTGTATACAAAGAAGATTATTTTTTTAATAGAAGTTCTTCCATATGACAAAATTATTTTAAGAAATAATGATGAGGGTTGGGGTTGTGGCTCAGTGGTAGAGCGCTTGCCTAGTATGTATGAGGCACTGGGTTCAATCCTCAGCACCACATAAAAATAAATAAATATATAAAGGTATTGTGTCCATCTACAACTAAATAAAATATTTTTAAAAAAGAAATAATGATGAAATTAAATTAATAACAATGGCCATAAAAATTCAGAGTAAATTTTTTTTATTAAACTTCATGTATATATATATGTACATATATACACATGTAATAAAAAGACAATACAAAAATAAAACACACTATAAAGCAAGTATTACAACACCAAGAATACAGGAAAGATAACAATTTTTAAAATTGCATTAATGCATTTTACAGGAGAAAAAAAACCTTATATCTATCTATATATCATTCTACCAGAGTAATGAATAATAATAGTACAGTTATGTTTTTGAGCATTAACATCTGCATATTTGCTAATGACTTCATCAAATTTTAATATTTATGAATATTTAATACTTTAGATAGCTTTGTTAATTTATTTTTGTTCATAGTTGACTGTTGATTGATGAACACTTTTTTATAAATTTTAAATCAGTAAAGTTTCTTCCCATTAAGGAACAGATATGCAAATAATAAAAGTCTTAAAATTTTGATGAGCTGAGAGTGATAGCACTCACCTATAATCTCAGTGGCCCTGGAGGTTCTCAAGTTCAAGGCCAACTTCAGCAAATTAGTGAAGCCCTAAATAACTTAGCAAAAACCTATCTCAAAATTTTAAAAAAAAATGATAAAAAGGGATGAGACTGTAGCAGAGTGATCAAATGCCCCTGGGTTCAGTCCCCAGTACCAAACAAATAATAAAATGAAAAAAAAAAAAAACCAGAAAAGTGTTGGGGATGTACCTAAGTGATAGAGTGCCCTTGTGTTCCGACCCCGGTATAAAAAGTGGGGGGAAAAAAAAAAGTTTTTGAATGAGTTTGTGAATGATTCATTTAAAAAAAAAAAACAGTTTTCCCCAAACCCCAGGAATTACAATACCACCCATATTATTGTTTCTTCAGAATCAGATATGAAGTCATTCAAATTTTCCACAATGGAAAATTTCTAACAAAATTTCTTCACCAGAAATTAATCAGAAATTCTGTCATGCTTGGTAACAACTTCAGAAGTTTTTTCTTCTTTAAAAATCAGTGAGCTTTGTTTCCTGGTTGCAATGTTCTGAGGTGCTTTCTCTGCCACCATGCCTTCTGCCATGATGTTATGCCTCATTTTGGACCCAGAGCTATGGAGTAAGCTGACCATGTACAGAACCTTTGAAACCAATACTGATAGACTGCTGTGAATAGAGAAAGTCTTTAACCCAAAGGAATTTGCATTCTAATTGAAGTAGAAAAAAACAATTAAAAGTCTTGCTACATTTCCCAGGCTGGCCTTCAACTATCAATCCTCCTGCTGAATATTCCTAGTCACTAGGATTATAGGCATGCTCCATGAACTGTTTATGGAAATGAAATACTTCATATGCTTCTTGGTCTGAGTATTTGAGATGTCAGTTTTATATTTGGTCTCAACTAAATGCAAATGTAAGATTTACAGGCTGCTGGCCTGGGGTTGTAGCTCAGTGTTAGAGTGCTGGCACATGGGCCTCAACACCACATTAAAAAAGGTTAAATTCTTAAAGAAAAATAAGATTTAAATAGTGTTTAAAGTTATATCAGGGTCTGACCAAGTAATTGAGAACAGTGCTAGTTGCTGATGGTGGCTTTGAACTTAGGATACTTCTGATTCAGTCTCCTGAGTCATTGGACCAGTTCCTATAGTATGGGACAAATAATGTGCTTAGAAAATAATCAGAAATATCTTCAGAGAAAAACACTCAAAGATGGGAGCAAATATACATGGAGTCACTTGTCACACACACCAAAAATAAACAGTTGGAAGGCTATGGAAAGAGAGTTCTTAAAGGACATAACACTAAAATCCTTCACCTTAATAGAGCTACTATTTCTTCAGACTGTGCCTCCTTCAGCAATAAGCATCTGACTCCTTTTATTAAAGTTCCTTAATGGGATATGTACACATATGCAACAATGGTCAGTCATATGATATGGAGCCTCAGCTCCATCAAGACTGAGGGATGAGGCAGATGCAGTGGCACATACCTGTAATTCCAGTGGCTCTGAGAGATGAAGGCAGGAGGATCACAATTTCAAAGCCAGCGTCAGCAATTTAGTGAGGCACTGTATCATAATTTTAAAAACTCTGGGGATGTTAGCTCAGCAGTGGTTGAACACCCCTGGGTTCAATCACTGGTACTAACAAAATGAAACAAAACAAAAACAAAAGGTTGAGGGATAAACTAAATGAGGTGGGTGTGGGGAGGTTGAAACAGATCCCCCTCTGAAAATAAGGGCAACTTCTTAATAACTTGTTTCTCTGAAGGATTTGAAACAGCCCCTTTGAAATTAAAGCTCCAAATTGTTTTATCTTCAGAACTTCCTCATACTTACAATAAAATCTTTCACCTACAGGGCAGATGCCCTGGAAATTGAGACAGGTTCTATAGCTAACTGAATCTCCATATGCAAATTTACTGCCTTTTGTCTCACTTTGCCTTCTTTTCCCTTATTAAAGCTTTTCTCAACCTCAAATTCTCAAAAATGATTTGAGACAAAAATTCTTTATTTACCTTCAAAGCTGGTTTTGAATAAACCTAATTTCCTGCTACCCTCAAAATCATTGAAAATGTCTGAATGAAACTTTGACATCATTTGATTGATTGCGTAGAAAAAAGTCCAATTCTTGATGTAAATGACAAAAATGTTAAACTACAGCCCTTTTTATTTCTTCTAATATCAAACAAGAATCTTCTCTCATTTATCCTATTTTTCTGTAAAAATTGATTTCTTAGAATTTAAACATTCATTTCTTTACATTTTGTTAGTGCTAGTAAATGGCTTTGTCCACAATTTCTGTATCCCAATCTTTAAAGGAAAATTTAAAACTTATTTTTTCTCTGAGTACTTTTCAAGGCTATTTTTTCAAATATTTTTCTGATAAATCTCATTAAAAATTTACAATAGAAAAATTCAAATTCAGTAAAATTTTTCACGTATGAAATAAAAGTTTCACTTTCCAACAAAAATATTACACTTCTAAGTTTACATTGTTTTAATGTTTTAAATATTTTTAAAAACTTGTTTATTAATATAATTATTAGCATATATTAAATGTAGAAACCAAGGGGTTTCACTGTGACATTTCTGCCTGTGCATATAACAAGCCTTGATTGTGTCCATTCATCCTTTTCCTACCCCCTCACCTGCAACCCAAGTTCCCCCAAATTCCTAATGAAAGAGGGTGCACTCAGATCATCTATTTTTCTGCACTTTTTATTATTTCATTTTAGTTTTATGTAATATTAGAGTTCATTCTAACATAGTTATAGTATTGTGAAAAAGAATTTGCTCTCCCTCAGTTCCCAGTACTTCCTCTTTCCCTCTTCCCGGTCCCAGTTCTCTTCCCTTTATTTTACTGATCTTTCTATTTATTTATAGTTTTTTTTTTAATTAGTGCCTTGTGGATATACAGAACAGTCAGATTCATTCCACAATTCTTCCCTTTTCCTGTCTATTATCCTCCCTCTAATCCACTGATCCCTCTTCTATTTTCATGAAATTGCCCCATGTTTTTCCCTTTCTTTCTCTCTCTCCCTCCCCCTTTCTTTTCTCCCTTTATTCATTTCTTCCTTCCTTCCTTATTTTGGTCTAGCTTCTGAATATTAGAG